TGCTTAATGTGTTATCTATTAACTTTGTCACCAAAGGTTGACGATTCAAAATGGTTTTATTGAAGTTTGACTTAGTTTCATACTCGAAGATATCTTAAAAAGTGAAGAATTTTAAAGTATTTGTTCTACGAACTTTCCACCCATATGATATAAAAATGTGTAGTCTAAGACATAATGTTCCTCATGCTGTTCTAGAACTATCGTTGATACATAGTTTTCGTGTAGATTCCATAGATTGAGAGATAAAAATCAGAAAAGAGGCCGTTATAGCTAAAATTCACAAGACAACAGAGCCAATAAAAGTTTCAATTAGATTGACAGAACATAGTTGCATTGCTTTTCAATGTCGACCGATGACTGTTTCATTGATAGAAATATGAATCCTCAGTAGACGTGTTTTTTTTTATCAAAGGCTAGTAAACTCGAGCCATAACAGCAATTTATAAAATAACGAACATTTTGGATGGCTGTTAAAATGAACAGGTCTAGTGTCCTCGTTTGGCCTTCAGGACCTGATGCAGGCGCTTCGGCATGCTCTCCACCAGGTTCTTTAGGTGCTGTCGATCTGCCTCTTCCCAGGCGCGCTCCAGGGCTTCAAAATAGTTATTTTTATCGGTAACACCAGTTTTGTCCACCTTGACATCGAGAATCGCTCAGAAATTATCGATGGGGTTGAGGTTCGGGCTTTGTGGAGGCTATTCCAGCGGTTTGATCCGACAAGACCGGACTTGGTCTTCCCGAAGCATGGTCGTTGTCCAGCTGAAATACGAACTTCTCTTCAAGCGAAACCTCTAGTTTTTGCCGTAGGATGTTAATGTAGTAATCTGCCGTCATTATCCCGTCGATTTTCACGAGGTTTCCCAATCCACCCCAGGAAAAACACCCCCATCACATTTTCTCATCCACGCTTCACCGTGCTTTGGATGTGGCGCCCCTGAAGCTCCTCACCAGATCTGCATCACACACGAACCCGCCGCTTTCGGTTGAACAGCTCGAATTTTGATTCGTCCGTCCAGAGAACCGTCTTCCAAATCTCTAGCGGCTTATCAGCATGCTCCTTAGCAAACTCCAGGCAACTTTGCTATTCAACCCCTGTGCTACGAGACGGAGACAAACTGTTCGACTGGAAACTGATAGTTGAAGGGTTTCCTAGATCTCGCGGATAGTTACCTTCGGGTTCTTCTTGACTTCGGGCATGACCTTGGTGTCCGTTCTCGCATCCGTTTTGCGCTTCTTGCCTCTGTCAGGGCGATACGCCACTGATCCGATCGTTTTTAGTTTCAGAAGAATTTTCCCAACCGCTGCCTTGCTGATTCACCGTTTTGCACATCACGAACCACCAATTTTCGGATACACAAGGGAATTGCTTTCGAAATCACTGCATTTTCCATTTTTTTTCCAACTGAATCAAATGCGATCACGCGTGCAAATGCACCAGTTTGAGCCATTTGTACAGTTTACTAACGTCTCTTTAAACTGTTCCCCTGCAAGAGGAGAATTTAGTTCATTCGAGACGGGTTTCAAACTGCAGCTGTTTCATCATCGTCCCCCATTGGGTCGTCCTCCCTCACACACCATGGTCTTTAGGACCTTAAAGACTGCTTCTTGTCGAATGAAGTGGAGTGACTACACTAGTCATTTTCTTTTCAATGCCACTTCAACTTACTTATGCTTATATCATATCGTGTAAGTCAACCGCCCGCAGGAAGTTGAGTACGGTTTGTTCTGTACTCCTGTCGTTGAACAATACCTCTCGGATTGAACCAACGACACCCATGTCTTCCCTCAATTGTGCTCTTGCCGGGCACTCCACCAATAGATGATTTACATCTAAAACCGCACCGCATTCCTGGCATTCCTATTAGTGTACTTCAACGATCTGCTTAGACAATGCAAATCTTCATTCAAGTGTAAAACGGCATCATTTAAATCCTTAGTTGAAATTAATAACACAGTATCATCTGCAAAAAGATTTTTGTCGCCAAATCGTAAAACACGTCGCATAATAAATAAAAAAGTGGTCTTAATACACTTCCCAAGGTTATTCCACACGGGATTTTAAATTGAATAATTTAAAACAGTCCACAGAAATAGCTTTTAAACCATTTTTATGCAGAACACGTAATTCCAAAGCGCTTGATTGATCATAACAATAAGGGCCTAGAAATTGTTTCAAAATCGCGTTTTAGATCCAAAATAAACAGCAAAAATCGTATCTTTACTCTCCAAGTTATCTTTGCACTTCGCTAATACCAAATTCATCGCGGTTTCACAAGAACGACCTTTCCGATATCCCGACTGTTCTGATATCAACAAACTATTACTATTTAAATACTCCAATAGGGTAGAGAACTACTTCGGCCTAATCGCCCATTTTGGGCCTATCGAGCAGAAAACTTCAAATAAATCCATGATTTCAGGGTTAAAAAGTTAATTATGCATTTGGTACGATACTTTAGTTAATAAGCTACGGAACGAAGTCAATGAGAACGCGTGATATAAAGGTTTGCACCAATTATTCTCAAAAACAAAAGAAGCGCTCCGACCGAAGCAATTTTTATCTTCATCCGATAGGCCGAAGTGAATTCATTGGCGTTTCAATGGCGTTTCAATGCTTTAAGCCGAATTTAGAATCCGTAGGCCGAGTTTGGCGTCAAGAAGCAGTGTTAAACTTTTGACAATATCTCAACAATTGGTTTCTCTTTATCAAATCTTACGATTGAGGAAAATAAATTTGGAAGCCATCAGTAATAATAACATTCCGTTTGGTGCTAAACTGCGATAGATTAAGAAAGACTAAGTGCGGGTTGTGCTTAATAGGCCGGAAATGGGGTAAAGGGCGAACACGAAATTATTCCGACACCGAAAATGTCATGCCAATTTTCTTATAATGTTTAGAATCAAACCAAAATTTTAGGGTAGTTTTATACATATATTTACTTCAAAAATCAAAAGAAAAGTTAATCGATAGAGCCTTGAGTGTAAAATTGAACGCATTTTCGCTTGATGTCCTCTATCAAAGTCTTTACAGTGTCATCCGGTACCAGTGTCTCAGTTTTTTTCATTTTCTTAACATGTCCTTCTCGTCTTTGACTGTCTTCTTGCTCTTCCGAAGTTCCCGCTTCATTATTGCCCAGTACTGCTCCACCGGGCGCAGCTCCGGACAGTTTGGTGGATTCATGTCCTTTGGAACAAAATGGACAGAATTGGCCTCATGACCACTCCAGGACACTTTTAGAATAGTGGCATGATGCCAAATCTGGCCAAAATAGCGGAGCTTCGTCGTGCTGCTGCAAGAACAGCAAAAGGCGCTTCTCGAGGCACTCAGATTTGTAGATCTCGCCATTTACTGTGCCCTTTGTCACGAAAGGCTCACTCCTCAGTCCGCAAGAGCAGATGGCCTGAGATATTTGGAGGCGAACTTCGACATTTTCTTCTTCTTAAATTTGTCGTCCACATCGAACTTGCTCTTGCCGGTGAAAAACTCCAACCTCGGAGTTTGTTTAAAATTGGCTTTTATATACGTTTCGTCGTCCATCACACAGCAGCCATATTTTGTCAGCATCTTGTCGTAGAGCTTCCGTGCCCGAGTTTTAGCCGTCGATTGTTGCCGCTCATCGTGGTTTGGGAAGTTCTGTACCTTGTATGTATGTAGTCCAGCTCTCTTCTTTGCATTCTGGACGTAGCTCTGCGACATGCCGATCTTTTTAGCCAAATCACGGCTTGAGACGTTGGGATTTGCTTTAATCATCCGCTTCACCTTTCCCTCCGTCTTTTTGTTCTCCGGTCCCGGTTTTCTTCCAGCTCCTTTGCCGTGGTCCAACGTCAACCGCTCCTGGAACCGCTTCAACACTCTGGAGACGGTTGAATGGTGAATGTTCAACATTTTTCCCAACTGCCGGTGCGACAGGTCAGGAAATTCCAGGTGTTTGGAAAGAATTTGTTCTCTCAACTCGCGTTGGTTCACCTCCATTTTCGTTGAATCGAAAAACACGACTTCGAGTTTGACAGCATGTACACAATACAGATCAATGAGAAAGTGTGCAAAATTTGGTTGATTTTTACCCAATGGTAAAAAAGTTATGCCCTGTTGAATGTGTCGCAATAATTTCGTGTTCGCCCTTCAGTTAACCCTAGCTGGCCTTTCACAACAAGTTCCAAAAGTTTCTCTAATGTGTGCAACATGTTGATGGAATGAAACTCTTCGGCTTTAATCTTTCCAGCAACTTTTTGAATAGGGACCACTAAGGATTCCTTCCAAATTTGTGGCACATGTCCAGTTTGCAATGATTCGTCCAGCAAGATGTGGCCAATGACATGAAAGCAATCTTGAATAACCCTAGCATTAGCATTATCTACTCCAGCCGATTTTCCTAATGAAAAACAAATAACTCTAAGTTCATCTAATGTAATTGGGTGAAAACCTTCAAATCTACAACTACTATTAACTGGTTGTTTTATTTCGTCAGGCTCCTCGACCATTTCAAGTTATTAGTAGTTACTGATAAACATTATTTTCTGATTCTGAAATCTTACGATATCAAACATGCAATACACCCACACATTTTTCGAATATTCGCACTAAAGAACCGATTTTTTTTTTAATTAATAGTTTCAATTGCAAAAGATTTTTGAAAAATATATTCCGTTAGTTGATTCTAAGGGGGGTGAGCACATAACCCCTTAGAATGGAATGATCTCACCAGGTCTGTCACCACTCTGTCAGTCAATTACAGGCATAAGGACACTGGTTGCGCTATCTTCACAAAAAATTGTAACGATGCTCACAACTTGACACGCTCATATTCACTGATTGCGAAGTGTGTTGAGAATTTTGTTTTTTTTTTAAGCTTTATTATGGAGATTTTTAGCCAACTGGGTAGATCATCTCCGCGTGATAAGTAAAAGAACTCTCCAAGGAAACACCTTATGAGTAATTAATCATTTGTAACAGGCAATTATTTATACAGAGGTGTCCCATTCACCAAGCTGCTACTCACCCATAGTGCGTTTTCCGAATGAATCCGACGCGGTCCGCCAACCTGCGGCACTCCTGCTCCGTCAACGGTGTGTTCTTGATCATGACAATGCCATACCGTATCAACGCTTCGATCCACCCCCGCAAAGCTTCGTCCTCTGTGATCACATCTCGGAATTCAAAATTCTTCAGAATCTCACTAAACTTTTTCTTTCCCCACAACCGAGGCGTCGGTCTGTACCACTCTTCCAAATATTCGCTGCAATTTTCCTGCGTAAAGTTCCTCTCAACCAGCCACTCGCCGGTGAACTCAGATCTATGCCCATCACTCCACACAATCTGCACCTGGCTTCCATCTTCAGCCACTGCACATTCCTTCAACTGCACTCCGTCGACATCGAACAACTCCCAGTTCAAAATTCGGCTGTGCGATCCCGGATGAAAACACTCCGAACACCGGCAATTATCTCGCAGCCAAACTAGTGGGAACTCGAACCGCTGACCGTTCACTAATTCCACCACCAGCTGATGACGTCCTATGGCGAGCTGATAAGCCGACTTTATCGGTGAAACAACAGCACCCGATTCCACCGTCAAAGGCTCACTGGCACTGACCGCCTTTCGCGAGTGTGGCCCTCGGTGAATCGTACGAAAGTGTTGACCATACGATGATGCAGCAACAAGATACGATTCCGAGTTGATAACGGATGCACTACCGCGTAGCAAGTGGCGGAATGCGCGAGCCGTTGTGATCGCTCGAAGTGCCATATGGAGTGCTAAAATTAGATTAGACGCTAAATCATCAGTCATATAGAGAGAACCGATTGGACTTTGAACGGTGAATTATCAACATACTGAGCGAGTACCGTACGTATCAAAAAAATGAACCTAGTTTGGAAGGTAGGATTCCCACGATGACGCGAAATTGTTCAAATGGAGGCGCGTGATGAACGTGTGCTGCTCGTTGGATGGTTCAAGTAATACTGATACCACGTAAGAATAATATTCACTTTCGCTCGCTCACGCGCAGTCAGCATGTGGTCGAGTGGACGCACGGCGATATAGTCTAAAACCGGTACCAAGCGATAAAATAGACAAACGAATGAACGCTTCGTGTATTGCGCATTTTGCACCACTTTAGAGTTTTGCACAAGCGCTTTTTTTTGGCCTCTATTTTTGATCGTGTGATCTTTAACCACCAAAAAATAAAAATCAGATGGTATTAGCAACAATCAATACGAAACTAACGATTTTAAATTGGCTCACTACTTGACTAGACTATTGGTCCCAATCAAATCGATTAACGTACCCCATTCTGGTATAAATTCTAGTACTACACTATGTTTGTTTTGATTCGCTATGAAAGTTTGACAGATAAAATGAGGGGTTATAGGATTTTCCTATGTTTCGAGGGGTGAATCGATTAGCTTGGGACCGAAGAGAGTACCAGAGCTGAGCCAAAAAGTTGAGCACGTTATTTCGGGACCTTCTAGTCTTAAAGTTACCTCTATGGTATTAGTAAAAAAAATTCGCGTAAAAACAAAATTGAGTTTATTTGAAAGTAGCAGCAGCTTTGGAACAGTAGTGGCAAGGTACACTAATGATTTCAAGCTCTAGAAAACTTAAAGAAATTCAATATTTAAATTGTATTATCAGTGGGAACATAGGTGTACTTATTTTTAGCGCAGTAGTCTAATGAGGTACGAAATTTGCAATACACACAGAGAGAGAATATGTCCGGGTGTCAAGAGACTGATAAAATATGTTTTTCTTTCTGGTCTGAGCTTCTGATGAAAACAAATAAAAGGTATGCAAATACTCACTCATTTAAGCGTAGATCACAAACAAGTCAAATAGCAGTCATAATTGAAATTAAAGGAAAGGTTTTCCTTTGATCCAAGCCACATAGGCTGACCTAGAATAAAATTGTAGGAGAATTTTTAAATTTTATTAACTCTTCGGTACACGGGTCACTAATATTTGCATTAATTGATAAACCCCATAAAATTTGATTATTGAAGACATAAAATTAATGAAGAAACGATACCTACTGCTATCTTGATTACGCCAGTGGAATATCTAGCTTCTGAATGTATGGCTGTTAGATCTTGACAAGATTTCATCAAAACTGGTAGCGTTGTGTTTTATGATTAAAAATATTCCAATTGCCTTATTGCATTTTTATACAAAAGAGATAATCAAATGTAATAAATTACACCAAGAACACGCTTATTTTTAAATTAAACCTTCATGAATTTCAGATCTTTGATTTTAAAATATGTATCTGAAAGAGATCATTTTTCTGATCACAATGATATATTTTTCGTTCCCACAAACTTTTTTAACCTTTGCATTGTTTTCCGTCGATCTTGTTTTTCGTGCTGAGCACCAACGCTACCCACGCCAGGGAGGTCAACTCATGAACCGGGGACCAACGGCTTTACTTCCCTTCCGAAGGAAGGCGTGATCAGAGATGTTATGCCGCAGAACATCCCGGTGGCGCCGACTGGGATTGAACCCAGGCCTGCTGGAGTGAGAGGTAATCTCGCTTACCACTACACAACCGGCGCACAGTGGGGAGTCTCCATACAAGAAGGTAGCCAAAAATATTTTCGTGCTTTTTATGCATTTTTGTCTTGATTTATGGGTATGGGTATGAATTGTTAGCTTCAAGAAGTTTTGGAAGTCATGTAATATCTTAAGGTCTACAAAATGTCCTCAAGTCGAGATCTAGATGTCCTCTTGAATCAATGTGGTTTGACTCGTAAATTTTCGACGTATTTGACATGCCATCAGGTCCCTACTAATGATGTTTAATGCAATATGCATCGTAGGGGCCATGCAGAAACCACGTCGTCAATTTAGATTTTTTTCAGATTTTCAGTTTGACCACGTTGTGGGGAGAGGTTCAAAATCATAAAAAATGTACCACGTGGTTTCTGAACAGCCTCGTAGAGTATGAGTGATTAAATATTAATTACTTCCAAACTATTCTGGAGTTATGGTCATTAAGTTAGGTTAAATTATGTCGTAAAAAATGTCCCGAAAATCTTTATGAGCTCAGGAAGTTCTGGTTATATGTAAATCACAGAATGGTATTCGGTGCCCTCCTCACTATTCTGGAGCAAAAAGATGATGGAACTTTACAAGTCAAGATCATGGCCTTAAGCAATCACCCCTATTCTGTAAATCGGGTTGACCTTCTGTCATTTACGAGGCAATGAAAGTCACGCCTTGTGAGAAGACTCTACATTTGATTCGCATGGAGAGTCACCTCACAAAGTGACTTTTATTGTCTCGTAGGTGAAAGAGAGACGATGCGGTACGTTGAATTGGGGTAAATATCTTGACTATCTTTGAAAAGATCTACAATATCTACAATCGAATCTTTGATAGTGTTCTGAAATTCTACGGAAGCATTCATCTCTTTTGCAAAGCTTTTTCTTTCTTAGTAAAGTGTTTGCTCGTTTATTCGGATAACTATTTGTTGGACGAGATGAAAATTGCAATCAAAGAATAGCTCATAAGTGAAATTTCAGAGATTGTTGTGATTGGCCCATCGCTAAAAAAAAACAAATTGTCTTTTTCTAAACGCCCTTGACTGGGAATTGCAGATAATGGAAATATCTAACGTTCGTACTCCTAACGTATTTATGCCTAACATCATGCTCCTCTCGGATATTGATTCCATTCGAATGAACTTTTTAATTGACTCAAAATACTCACTGTCTTTGTAGTTGACGAGTCAGATATTTAAACCTTAATTTGTAAGGCCTTTGCAATCAACTTATACGGCCTCTGAACTTAACTCATAAGGCTCCTAAAGTAAGCCAAATTCTAGTCTCTCAGCACCCAACCTTCAAGAATTTCCTTTGGCCACAGAACCTCTAGACTTGATGTTCTATTAGGCTGACATCCACATCAGTAACATTACTTCAAAATCGGAACAAGTTAAGTATATCTTCAACGAACAAACCAGCGCGGACCTAAGTCTCTAGTGCTTCAATCCATTTCTATAATTACCTACATTTAAATTTGAATTCTATGAAAGCTACAAAATCCATCCGGAGGTCATCTTCAAAACCAACAAGATCCTCCATCGTTATTACCCGCATTGGTCGCAAAGTACAGATCACCAACAAGTTCGGTCAATGGAAATTCCGAAATGGATAGGATATGATTTCCCTTCTATGGGTACGACTACTGCCAATATCATCTTCAATGAGCAGAGCAGAGCATCTCTAAATATACGGGTCCACTCACGGCCATCCATCGAAAGACCTAAGAAAAATGGACTAATAATTACACAGCGCACGTGGAATCGACCGGACTTGGAAGCGACTTCCACTGCCACCGTCTGTCAATCAACCTCCCTGTCCCTCTCTCTCTCTCTCAAATCCCATGAGGGTATCACATCGCAGTTGAACTACATTATTAGGTTAATATTTCATCCCGCAGTCATGAAGCAGTAAGTGAAGCAGTGAGTACTTCGTAATGCACGTTTCATGCTTCGCATTGCATTGATCCGATTCGAGATGATCGTGTGTCCACTTGGTAGTCGTGGTCGTGATCGATTCTCCATATCCAGACATCAAAGCTTCACTTTTGATTTTCGATTTCCCTGAACCCCTAAACCGAAGCTTCTCTGTTTTTGTTTTTTCGTGATCCATAAAAAAAATCCAACAGCAGTTTCTGGTTTCTTCACCTAAGCACTAGAATCTGTCATTTTGACCCTAAACGAGCGAGGGTGCGGTGCGGCAGTGGCACCTTTGCCATTTTGTCGTGTGAGAATACTCGCTCTCGACCCGCACCGCATCTACTTATGCCACGCTGATGACCTCCTTTGTTCTGTCATGAAGGAACGATTTAAAATTCAAATTAAAACCAGTCTATAAGCGCTTTAGTAGAGGCTGACCCAAACTGGCTGCATTCGCCGCCGCCGTACTCAGGCTTTAAGGTGGCTTTGTGTGTGATCTAGGAGTAGTACGTAAGGTAAGTCACTAGAAGAGTTTGAACGCTTCCTGATACGAGCCCGCACATGTGACTCTCTCGCTCGCAAGTCGCTGCGGAAGATTGAAGCAATTATCATTTATGTGTCTCCCTCGCTATGTCTGTGTTGTAGTCGTTTGTGAAACCTGCAAATCTGCATACCGCGCTGTTGAAGAGCGCGCCCTGTAGGATCCTCTACGATTCAACGACAAGCAGCAAGCAAGGAAATAAATTTGTCAAGATTATGGGCCTGGGAATGGTGTAGCATCCAAGTAACTGTGCGAAAAAATAAAGTTTTAATTTATTGCTGTTATGCTGTTATATTTATTCACGCATTTTCTACATTTGCATCTTCAACAAAGTCATAGTCAATTTCATCAACGTCACTCAATAATTCTTCTAATGCTGTTCTCTCTGAAGTTGTTTCTGTTGAAATGTTATTATTCTTAAATACAAGAAATGTCCGTACAACTGCGGGATATTCATGAATTGATTTTTTATGTAATCGATTACTAAAATAAAGCGAACTTATGAAAGGATCAGAAGCATTCATGGCTCTTATGAAAACATCATGTAAATTTTCCACTCTTGATCTTTTCCTAGCATGATGGGTTCGACTTTTTTTCAAGTGTTTGTGCTGGCATTCGGCTGCTTCTTCGGCTAGTATTCCAAGTGGTGCAGGAGAATGGATCACTATATCTCCTGCATGAGCGAGTACTTTATGCACTGTAGCTGGAATTTTATACCAACTATATAATTGTAGATATAGATGATACGTTTCTTTGCTATATGTGTCTAGTATTTCGGGGCTATTCGCTTACACAGCAAAACAAATGTAATATCGATCAATGTAATTCAAGCTGATGTATGAAATAATGATGTAATAACAAAAAACAGATACAATATTACATCAATGGATGTAATTTTGTTCGCAAATTCGATGTACATCGTACAACGTTATATTACACAACCGATGGATTGACCTGGTTGCAGC